ACGGCCTCCCCGTCCCTCAAACAGGACTTGGAGTCCCGGCTCAACCAAACGCAGCTGTATTTGTCGGGAAACGGCGACTCATCCGCCGTTACGATCGGTATTTGTCAAGAGTTTCACGTGTTTTACCAGTTTTTAAGGGAAAGTTGTCTTTATTTTTGTAGGTCTACTGAAACAGTCGACCGAACGACTGGCCGATAATCTGTTGGCCGTCACCCGGAGGTTGGCGCTCGAGTTGGGAACTAATGTCCGGTCGTTAAGCCTAAAGACCGATAAGTCGATTGCCGTCACATTCTTCATGGACTGCGGTTTCATCAGTGGTGTGACTCTCGAGCGGAAGTCCAGGGATAATAAGGGGCCGATTGAGGACGAGTTCTCGCATTTTGTGAACTCAAACATCCAGGTCTTCAGTAATGGCGACATACGAGTGGTTCCCAAACAGGAGGAGACCGCCGATGGCGATGAGAAAGCGGACGAAACTGAGAGTAAATGGCTGTCAGAGACTCAGAGGAATGATAGCCGAAAGAAGTCGAAGAATAAGAGATTGAGTTTGTATTCAAATAAAGCGAATAAACGCCGGAAAGTCGGCAATAAAAGTGTGGATCAGATTAAGGGGTGATTTTCGTGGACAACGTGTTTGTTATAGATATTGTGAATTGACTTATATTTGATATGTATTTATGATAACAATATATTAAAATGAATTGCTTTTATATTAACATTTGTTTAATAATTATTTTTAGTTTTAAATATTTTAAAATCATATATTTCTTGATACCGTATAATCATAATTGCAATAAATTGTGTTTAACTCATTATTTTACTCAACGTGTGGTTATTCATAAAATACAGTACACTTTTGGCCCCCTTTTGAAACTAAAGTTTTACATATGATCTGATTTTTTCTATTTTTTCCACAAGCAACGTATAGTTAATTGGGGGGGTTGGTTGTCATTTGTATGTAAAGTTTCTATACAACTGACAACCAACCTCCCAATTAACTATACGTTGCTTGTGGAAAAAATAGAAAAAAATCAGATCATAGTTTTACATTCAGTGATGACTAGAGGGGAGTAGTATTTGTAGTCAAAAGTAACGGTTTGTTTGTGGAGTGAGCGGTAGAGGTGTTGACGACGTGTGCAGCGATCGTGTGCTTGTGTACAGACCCGTTGGCATCCCTACAACGGTAGTTGATCATAAGACCTAATGATCAAAAGACCTAAAATTGATCAAAATAATGAATTTTGGACAAAAGATGACTATATAATAGAATATGGGATTAAATCGGGTTTTTTGCATTTAAAGACAAAAGCCCAACTCTATGAGTGAATATCGGATTGAAGTCAGGTTTTTTTGCATTTTGACTTTAATCCGATATTCGATATGAAAATTAGCGTATACACCCAAAATCTCGAAAACTAAAATCTCGAAAAACAATCTCGAAATTTAAAAAATCGTATTAACACTAATTACTAGCACATACACATACAGTATATGGTAGCTTCTATCTGGGACAGGAAATATTTGAATAATTTTTGAATGGATAATCCGATTTTTAATCCGTTTTCACCAAATTGTAGCAGGATAATCAAGTAATCTAATGGTGTACTATTTGCCATATAAATCTACCAGGATAACAGAGTAATTTAATTTCAAAGTTAATCCACATTTTGCCATTGGAAAT